CAAGTTTTAAGATGTTATTAGCCAGATGCCCATGTTACTCACTGTGTGGGGAAAGGGGAGGAAAAAAATTCAAGCAAACAAGCATTTACAAACGGTACCAACTTTTGGGTAATATTATTTCTCTGTTTACCATATAATCTATCTTAAATATTTAAATCTAGGGACTTAAAATATGGTGGTTATGACAAAAAAATGAAGCATAAATGATAATGTGCATGTTAAAGATAACATTTATGCTTTTAGAAAAATTACTCTCTAACCTATCATAACCTACTTTCAGTGAGAAGTAGGACTAACTCTCTAATAAGATATCTCCTAGGTCTTTATAATAAAACACTATTCAGAAAACAAAATAAAAGGCTGCTATGGAAAAGAGTAAGCCTTTTCATGTACTAACAAAGGAAGATGTCACAGTGTGTTAAGTTTTAAAATTATGTTCCAATTTTTAGGTTAACAAAAACATATGAAGCAAAATTTATTCTGGGACATCGAATGGGGAGATGAGAGGAAAGAAGATTTTTATTAACTTATTTGTTGTGCAATTTGGAAAAAATATTCATATAGAACAGAATGTCTTATTTTCTACTACAGTTACATAAGCATTCAACTCACACACTCACAGAAATATGTACTGCATCACAGGATTGCAAATCAAATGAGGAGAGATTATACAAACCTCTATTTTACCCCAAAGCGTTTATTTGACTAATCAAGAGATCATATCTACCAACTCCAACTTCTATGGCAATTTTAATGTACGAGTGTAGCTTTAATATTATTTCCTAAAGATATTTAATGAACCCATTCAGTTTGGACAATAATTCTCATCCGTTCAGTTAAAAATTAAGAAAAGGACACTGAAAACAAATCAATTTACTGTTTCTTCTAACAAATATTTCCACATAAGAAAGAAGAGAATATAAAGTATTAAAAGCAATGTAGCTGAATTATGCTTACTATCAAGGGTTTTTATCCTCTCTTCTGAAATAACTAAAACACCAGGCAAATATATATAAACAGTGGTTTTTAGACAATGGAAAATAGGCTGCAAATGACAGTCATCCCTAAGGGAAAGTAAACAAAGGAGGTTTACCCTACAGTTGCCCCGGTGTACTTCCTGGAGGATTTCTAGCCAAAAGTTAGGAAAGAGAAATTCCAAAGGCCAGCATGCCTCTGAGTTAAGGAAAACAGAGTTGAAAGTTTGGAAAAAACAACACCTTTAGACTTTATAGTGTAGAGTATTGGAGAGGGAGGAAAACTGCATAGAGAGCACTCTGCAGATTATGCAGAATTCCCCATAAGTCTTTAAGTCTTCTAAGTTATAGAATAATGGTCACATTTGTGTGATTAAGGGCAGTGGAATATCCACCAGAACACAGCAGAGTCAATATAGTTTTTGTTCCACCAGCCAAGGTGGAAATACCTCCAACTTAAAGACCATTGAGTACTTCAGAACACACCACTTCATTGGTGCTGCCAGACTTATGGAGGTTCTCAACATGATCCAAAACTTAAAAAGCAAATCTTCAAATGGGTACATGATTTCCAACCAGCACAAGTAACAGAACAAAGCAAAACAAAAATTGAAAAGGGAAAAAAATAGAACACAGAAGAGAATTTGGCAACCAACAGTGCAAAATTCACAATGTATTTTATACCCATTAAAAAATGACTACTACGCATTCAAAGAATCAGATAATAAAGTGCATAACCAGGAGGAACTCCAGGCATTACTAACAAACTCAGAAGTAAGATAGGTGGAATGTTAGGAAACAAGAGTATATAAAACATACTTTAAATAGTTTCTGTGTACTATAAAAAGATAAACTTATGAGCTCCAAGATACAAGAAAAATTGTCGTTGTTGTTGATTGAAAGTTGAGCAGAACTCATAGCTCCTGAAGCCTTTCTATAACTATCATCATTTATCAAAGTTTATAGAGTTTCCAAAGGCATGTTGTTTAGGAAGTGGATGTCACTACTGCTTCCAAACGTGTCTTAAATTGGGAGCTCCACCAAACACTGTCCACCATGAGTAACCGTTTTGCCATTTGACACCCCAATGGCACAAGGTTCAGCATCACAACCACCGGCAGGTTACCTCAGTACAGCATATTGACAGAGGAGTGCTGTACCACTTAGAAGAATGTTCCTCCAAAATGCAATAACAACCAACTTTTAAATACAAAGGCCTTCCCCTGAGGTCTTGTTGACTATAAACAAGAGGCTTAAATAAAAATTAAGGAGGAAAAATAACAATCTATCAAAGGTGTAATTAGAATTTCAGAAGGAAAGAGAGAAGGAAATAGGTGAAATAACCACTAAAGTAAAATGTGTTGCTCCAAGTAAAATATGTGGTTTAAAATAAAGAAGTGTACATGTCAACATTGTATCCCTTCTCCATATTTATTGAGTCTGCATGCTGAGAAAGAAAACTCAAGAATATGGAAGATATAAAAGGAGAGACAGGCATCTGAGTTGGAGGAAAAATTTGGAAACTTTTAAATTCATATCCTTTATTTAATACTGGTTTTGAATACCATCAAGTCAGAGTCAACCCACAGCTGACCCTCCAGCGAGTTTTCAGAGGTAATTAATCATATGGAAGGAGACTACCCATCCTTCTCACATTAAATTTAGTAGCTTTTAATGCACAACCTTGCTTGCTGAAAACAAAGAGGAGCTGAAGCACTTACTGAAGAAGGTCCAAAGACTGTCGTGTCAATATGGATTATACCTCAATCTAACAAACAAAAATCTTTACAACTTACCCAGTAAGAAACATGACAAACAGGAAAGATTAAAGTTTTTAAAGATTTCATTTTACTTGGACCCACAATCAATGCCCATGCAAATCAACAGTCAATAAATTACACCATGAATTGCATTGGACAAACCTGCTGCAAAATACTTCTTGAACCTGGAAGATAACACTTTGAGAACTAAGATGTATTTGACCTGGCCATGATATTTTCAATAGCCTGTTAGCTTGCAGGTCCTGGAAAATGAGTAAAGAAGTTGAAGACTAAGCTATTCCTTTGAATAGTAGTACTGACAAAGCATTTTTAATAAATTGTGGACTGTTAGAAGAATGAGCAGATCTTTCTTATTAGAAACAACCAGAATGTTCCTTAAAAGAAAGGAAACTTACCTTATGTACTTGTGCATATTATAAGGAGACACTGGTCCCTGGAGAAGGGCAACATGCTTGTTAAAGTAGAATGTCAGTGAGAAAGAGGAATCTTGCCTGCATGTCAATAGAATCCTTCCTGCATATCACATTTTGGGAATTTGCGTAATAAATTTTTATTTTATAAGATTTTAAGTTACACATTGTATTAAACCTATGAAGTAGACCATACAGATTCCATTTAAAATTAAACAAAAGAAGAAAAGCAAGACTAGGTAAAAAAGGTTGAGATGAACAATGGAATATTTAAAAAGCAATAACAGTATGGTACATGAAACACAGGCATTAAAAAGTCACATTAAGGGGAGCTCTGATGGCCTAGTGGCAAGAAGCTGCAACTACAATCCCAGAGGTGCACGGTCCGAATCCACCAGATGCTCTGCCGGGAAAGGAGGGGCAATCTCCTCCTGTACCAGTCAGATCTGATTTGACGGTACACGCACACAAAAATAATAAAATTTTAAAAAAGTCACATTAAATATGAATGATCCAAATGTATCAAATAAAAAAATAGTGTGTTGTTAGATCATTTAAACATTCCATACTGTATGTAAGAAAGTCTCCTTTAAAATAAAGACACAGATAAGTAAAAATTCCAAGATTGCAAAGATAAACTATGTAGATATTAGAGTGTAGAATATGAAAAGGGATAAGGGTGGCATTGTGTAAGAATTGTTAAGAATTAAACTTTCAAGAAGTTTTAATAATCCTAAATGATAATCACCTACAGTTTACAAATAAAACTGAAATATGTGAAGGAAAAACCAATAGAACTAAGAGAGCCCACAGTCACAGATTTCAACATCTCTCTTTCAATAATTAATGGAACAAGTAGACAGAAAATCAATAAAGATATAGAATACTTGGGAGGAAAAGAACAACCAAACTACTATCAACCAATTTGACCTAATTGCCATTTATAGAGCACTCTAGCCAATAACACGGAGGACATTTTCAGTTGTATTCAGAACATTTACAACTATAGACTAAATCTTAGGGCATAAGCAAAGAATTTAAAAGAATTTAAATTATACAGAACTTATTCTCTAACCATTGTGGGAATCAATTAAGTAGCTAGAAAATCCTCAAATATTTAAAAATTAAACAATATGTGCCTATAAAAATTTCTAAATTATGGGAGGTATAAAGAAACTTAAAAGGCATTTGAACCTAATGAAAAGCATGGCATCTCAAAATCTGTGGAAAATAGGTAAAGCAGAACTTGGAGGGTGTCTGCTTTATCTTTAAACATATAATAAAAATTTAAAATAAAATATCTAAGCTTGCATCTCAAGTAAGAAGAAATGATAATAAACATTAATGAGCTTCTGCTCATTAATTAATGAAATGAAAAACAAACATTAAAGAAAAATCAGTGAAAACCTGGTTTTTTGAGAAAATTTATCAATTCCTAGCCAGACTGATCAACAACAATAAAAACAAGAAGACATAAATTATCAGTATCAAGAGCGGATGCGGTGACATCTTTATCAATCCAACTTTTCCAAGGACAGTAAGAAAATACAATGACCAGTTTTACCCTTGTTAACTTTCAGAGCAAAACATTGATTTTTCTCTAATGTTTGCTTTCATTGATTTATGCTCATTAATGTTTACTATCTTTTCTCCTTACTTGTTTCTTAAGATGCTAGCTTAGATGTTTGATTTTAAATTTTTATATATTTAAAGATAAAGATATTTTGCTTGCTTTTGCTGATGGACATGGATCAGATAATTACACTCTGTTAAATTTTACTAGGGAGTGGAAATTGCTACAATGTTAAATATTCTTAAATTTTTCAAAATTTTAGGTACACATCAGTTTTTAAGGAAACTGTGAGAGATGACATGAAAAAAAGTAAAACAGCAATGAAAACTATGGGACCAGCAAAAGTTGAAGTGCCTTCTCCAAACAATTTCCTAAAGAAACATTCAAAGGAAAAAACTCTACCACCCAGTAAGTTTTATATTTCATATTAATCATAACAAGTAACTTAATGAAAATGACATTGTTATTAAGTGTACATGGGTATTAGCTGCTTTGCCTCTTAGTTGCCATATATAAGCAGAATTTGAGTGACTGTTGTTGTTAGGTGTCATTGAGTAGACTGTGACTCATAGTGACTCTTCATGAACAACAGATATGAACCTTGCCTTATCTAGAGCCATCCTCACAATTTCTGATATGTTCTAGTCATTGCCATCTAACTTGCTGAATGTCTTTCTCTGATCCTCCACATTTCCCAGCATGTCTTTTTCCAAGGAATCCTGACAACATGACCAAAGGATGCAAGACCAACTTTCACCCTCCTTGCCTTTAAAAAAAAATCCTGATTACACTTCCTCAAAGTGTAACTTGTTGTGTTTTGGGAGTCCATGTTATTGTTGTTGTTAGGTGACATCAAGTCGAGTACCATACATACCTTGGGAACAGCCAGTCTGAACCCTGCCCTATCCTGTCCCTTCCTCATCACCTCTGAACATTTGAGCCCCTTACTGAAGTCACCGTGTCAATCTGTGTCATCGGAGTTCTTCCTCTCCTTCACTAATCCTCCATTTGGGAGTCCACAGAATATTCAATACTCTTTTTTTCAACACTTTAATTCAAAAGCATCAATGATTCTTCTGTCATTCTTATTCATTGTCCAACTTGCACATGCGTAGGAGATAATAGAAAACCAATGGATAAGGCATACCTTTTTTAAAAACTGACCATTCCTCTTTAGTACTTTGCAAAATTTTTCACAGTAGATTTTCCCAATGCAACACATTTGTTATTTCTTGACTATAGGTGTCATGAATATTGATTGTGGATCTGAGTAAAATGATATTATTGACAGCTTCAATCTTTTCTCCATCTATCATGATGTTGCTACTTTGTCCAGTTGTGGGACTTTTTAATTTTTTTATATTGAATTTTTTTTTTATATATATTGAGGGCTGTAGTCTTTGAACTTCTGGAGCAAGTTGTTTCAAATTGTTCTCACATTCATCAAACAAGGTTGTGCCATCTGCATAACCCAGTTTGTTGATGAATGTTCTCCAAGCCTCATACTATGTTCTTCTTCATATAGTCCAACTTCTTGAATGATTTGCTTAGCATAGATTCTTTAAGTTTGGAGAAAGCCTACACTTCTGACACATACTTTTTTCTGATTTTAAACCATGCAGTGTTCCCTAGGAGAAAGTACTTTTTTTTTCTTCCCTACCATCCCCCTCCAAATTCACTTTTCTCTTTAAAAAGATTCTTTCATTGTTGCACAATTTCCTGCCACCCCAACACTCTAGCCCACTTTACTATACACCTTTTATCATAGATTGTTATCATGCAAATAATACCTAATCAGATATTTTTTTAAACAGTTCTTTCTCATATCTGTTTGAAGATAGCATTCATTATTTACCCCCTCTTTTCTTAGGTTTTTTTCCCCTCCAACCTCCATATCAAGACTGTTTCATGACAGTGGCATTATGTGGTTTTTGTCTTTTTGTGACTGAGATATTTCACTTAGCATAATGTTCTCCATGGTCACCCATTTTGTATAATATTTTATGAGTTCTTTGATTTTCAGTGCTGCAAAGTATTCCATTGTGTGACTATACCACAGCTTCTCTATCCATTCATTTGTTGATAGGCACTTGAGTTGCTTCCATCTCTTTGCTATTCTGAATAGTGCAGCAAAAAACATAGGAGTCCATGTATCTGTTTTGGTGGCAGTTCTGGTTTCTTTAGGGTATATTCTCAGTAGTGGAATTGCTGGATCAAATGATATTTCTATTTCCAACTTTTTTGAGATAGCACCATACTGTCTTCCATAGTGGTTGCACTGTTTTACACTCCCACCAACAGTGAATAAGGGTTCCAAACTCTTCACAACCTCACCAGCATTTTTTGTTTGCTGCTTTGTTGAACTTTGCTATTGTTACTGGGCTGAGATGATAGCTCATAGTGAGAAAGTATTTTTAAGTTGCTTCTCCCATATGCAAATTCAAGCTGAAGCTGAGGAAA